ACGACCGACGACGACGTCAAGAAGTTCAAGGAAGGCGAGAAAGTCGAGTGTCTGTACAAAGGCAAGTCCAAGTACTTCCCTGGCGTGATTGCACGGGCGAGGTTGAACGGCACATACGACATTGACTACGATGATGGCGAGAAGGAGAAGGAAGTCGCAGCGAAATTGATCCGCTCACGTGAAAAGTCGAACAGTCCAAAGAAGAAAGCCAACGATACCTCGGACGACGACAACAAAAGGACGAGAAAGTTCAAGGAAGGGGAGAAGGTCGAAGCGCAGTACAAGGGCAAGTCCAAGTTCTACCCTGGCGTCATTGCAAGAGCTCGATTGAATGGTACATATGACATCGACTACGACGACGGCGAGAAAGAAAAGGAAGTTGCCGCCGACCTCATTCGATCCAAGGAAGCCTCCTCCCCCAAGAAGAAGAAACCCGCTGATACTTCTGACGATGAGAAGAAGCCCAAGAAATTTAAGGAGGGCGAGAAAGTTGAAGCGCAATACAAAGGCAAAGCCAAGTTCTACCCTGGGGTTATTTCGAGGGCAAGGCTCAACGGCACGTACGACATCGACTATGACGACGGCGAGAAGGAAACGGGAGTGGCGGCGGAGCTCATTCGCAGCAAGGATAAGTCCAGTCCGAAGAAGAAGAGCAGCGACGACTCTGTCGAGGAATCAAAGCCAAAGAAGTTCAAGGAGGGCGAAAAGGTCGAAGCGCAGTACAAGGGCAAATCCAAGTTCTACCCCGGGGTGATCGCAAGAGCTAGGCTCAACGGCACGTACGACATCGACTACGACGACGGCGAGAAGGAGAAGGAGGTCGATGGGAAATTGATCCGCTCGAAAGAATCGTCGTCGCCCAAGAAAAAGAGTGGCGGGGATTGGGATGATGATAAGAAGCCCAAAAAGTTTAAAGAAGGGGACAAAGTTGAAGCCCAGTACAAAGGCAAAGACAAGTTTTACCCCGGAGTGATTTCCAGGGCACGGCTCAATGGCACGTACGATATTGACTACGATGACGGCGAAAAGGAGAAGGAAGTCGAGGGCAAATTGATACGGCTCAAAGCGTCCAGTCCAAAGAAGAAGACCGAAGACACCACAGAAGACGAAAAGAAGTCCAAGAAGTTCAAGGAAGGCGAGAAAGTGGAGGCCCAGTACAAGGGCAAAGCCAAGTTTTACCCAGGGGTCATCTCACGAGCTCGACTGAATGGCACGTATGACATCGACTATGACGACGGCGAGAAGGAAACGGGAGTGGCGGCGGAGCTCATTCGATCGAAGGACAAGTCCAGTCCGAAGAAGAAGAGCAGCGACGACACAACCGACGACGACGTCAAGAAGTTCAAGGAAGGCGAGAAAGTCGAGTGTCTGTACAAAGGCAAGACCAAGTACTTCCCTGGCGTGATTGCACGGGCGAGGTTGAACGGCACATACGACATTGACTACGATGATGGCGAGAAGGAGAAGGAAGTCGCAGCGAAATTGATCCGCTCGCGTGAAAAGTCGAGCAGTCCGAAGAAGAAAGCCAACGACACTTCGGATGACGACAACAAAAGGACGAGAAAGTTCAAGGAAGGGGAGAAAGTCGAGTGTCTATACAAAGGCAAGTCCAAGTTTTACCCCGGCGTCATTGCAAGGGCTCGATTGAATGGTACCTATGACATCGACTACGACGACGGCGAGAAAGAGACGGGTGTGGCGGCGGACATGATTCGCGCGAAGGAGTCGGCGACTTCAAAGAAACCGTCCGAGCCGTCTGGCGAGAACTACCGCGTTGGAACCAAGGTGGAAGCCCTTTACAAAGGTACATTCCTCTTGATTGTCACGAATATTTGGCTGAATGGAATGGTTGGATTAGGAAAAACGGAGTGGTTCAAAGGCACCATCTCGAAAGACCACGGCGACGGCAGATACGATGTCGAGTACGACGACGGCGATAAAGAGGCCAAAGTTCCCGCCAAGATGATTCGTCCGGTGAAAAGCAGCGGCACTGGGCGGGCGAATTTCCAAAAGCTCGTCGGCGGGACCAAAAAGTCCAAGAGTGGCAACAGCTCCGACTAACACCCCATGTTAACTCAAGAAATGAAGTGGATGTGATGATGCATTTATTAACACTAACTTGTCCTCCTTTCATGACCATACTACGCCATTTTGGAGTTAAGTTGGACAAATGCCCGATATATTTGGCGGTGCCCGATATATTTGGCCATGTGCCCGATAAAATTGGCCATATGCCCGATATAATTGGCCATGTGCCCGTTGAATTTGGCACACGGATGTCATGTGCCCGATATAATTGGCCAATTGCCCGTCTACCCGAATAATGGTGTCATGTGCCCGATGAAAATGGAAATCACATAATAAAAAAGCATCGTTGCTGTGAAGTGTACCAACGCTCATGTTGCCCATGGCCTCCGCGCGTTCATCGAGGGTGCGTACCTTGAGGTAAATCGACAAATGAGCTCTGCGCGCGACAGATTCAAGTTTTGGAGGGAGTTCAAGTATGGACGAAACGTTGAAGTATAGGGGCAATACTTCAATTGACATTATTACCAGAGTTATTCGTGGGGGTGCAGCGACGTCTATGCTGTGCGTTCCTTGGCGATTTGAATAATGAGCATTCAAAATGTTGGAGGAAAGCGCGCGCATTATTAATTTAAACTATACTTTATTCAAGTATAAATTTCGAATTATCTTGCCTTCGCGCGTTTTCCTCCGACCTTCACAACCACATGATGTTCCCACCAAAACTGATTTGCACTCCATGGAATTTAATTATTTGAGTTATTCCATTTTCATCGGGCTCACGACACAATTCATCGGGCAGATGGCCAATTACTTGGGCACACGGCCAATTACCGCCAAATACACTATATATCGGGCACACGACCTCGGTGTGCCAAATTAAACGGGCACATGGCCAATTATATCGGGCACAC